TTAAAAAAATAAAGTCAATCTTAGAATATAATCTAAACTATATAACAAAAGTTAACAATATGATATTGATTAATTTTAATATTACTCTCAATTCAAGATAATGTATCAATCACCTGTTAATTGATAAGATATTAAAAAACTTTGAAAACATATTAAAAAAGTAGTATAATTTTGAAATGATTAAGATTTAAGGAGATAATTATATCTTCTCCAACCGTATTATATATGAATCTTAATTAATGATTAACTTGAGCTCAACATGAAATTTTACATACATCAAATAATAAACAGTTATTACTAAATGTATAATCACTGTGGTCACTTCAAAATGATTTTTACAAAATTAATTAATATCTATTCGAAAATAATATCCCTTAAGTTGGTTATATTTTACAATTAAATTAAGAAATTGCACCTAAATTGTAGAATTAAAAAGGAAATAATGGATAATCTTAATAAAATTTATCTTCTCTATAACAACCTCCTTGGACGATAAATTATTTAAATATATAAAAAAGCATTCATATTAGCCACACTTAAATGCATGGGTATTTTCTCTTAAATTTCCAAAATAAATTGTTCAATAAGATTGTTAAAATTTAATTACTATAAACCTATTTAATTTTAAAGTTCTAAGGTAAAGCTTGTTTTATTCATAAATTCAGGCAAACAATCTTTTTATAGAGAAACTTAAGTTGTTAAATCTATTTTAAGTTTTATATAATAATCTTGTCCAGGAAAAGATTACCAAAAAAAGGAGGTATACTTATTTTTCACATCAAAAGATGGATAATTAAAAATGAGTTGAGAAAATATTATTTTGTGAATATTAGAATATATTGACTCTCAAGAAATACGAAGATTAGAAAAACTTAGAAATAATAAATGCTGAAAGATTTAGTTGTAGAATCTGCTTTATAAATCTTGTACAATTCACATTCTAAATTTAAATTTAGAGAAAATGCTTGGTTATGATAAGAATAATACCAAAAAACAGTATACAAATTTATAGATTATTTGCATTCATGCAACTAAAAGTTTTATTTCATCATATTTTAAAATGTGCTAAATTAATTTCCATTTTAGTAATGTTTCAAGATTGTTAAAAAACAAAAAACTATAAAATAGAACTCTATCAACAAATATTGGACACAAGAAGTATATTAAAATAGCTTTAAATTAAGGGTTAATATAGGTTAGTTTTTAAATTAATCAAGTGTTACTCCAATAATTCTCCTAAAGGAAACGGTTTTTTATAAAACTCTGTTAAACCTTGAAAAATTGAAGTCTTGGTAAACCATAATATTAGATGTATCTAAATTTTAAATAATATTCTTTTACTGCAAAGGGGTGTTAAAAAAAGGATATCTTGTATTTTTAACCTAAATTTCTTCAAATCTATAATCTGAACAATACTTGTTTTTGATTTCCCATAGATGATATAGAGTTATCACTACTACCAGAAGCTAATGTATTTCCATCAGGAGAGAAACATACTGATCTAACATAATCACTATGACCATCTAATTAGGCTTTTTATTATCCTGTTTTGACATCCCATAGACCGATAGACTAATCACTACTACCAGAAGCTAATGTATTTCCATCAGGAGAGAAAAAGACTGACATAACTGAATCAATATGACCGTATAATTTTGCTTTTTATTATCCTGTTTTGACATTCCATAGACGGATAGACTTATCATAACTACCAGAGGTTTGGGTTTGGGTTTGGGTTTGGGTTTGGGTTTG